CCTGGGGCGGGCTTCCTGGAGGAGGCAGCTGCGGCTGGCTAGCCCTGCGGCTCAAGTCCTGGCCAGGGTCCAGGCATCTTAGACTCCCAGCTCATCCATGGACCATAGAGGTGGCAGAACACCCTTTTCTTGGCTCCGAGGGGGGCTGCTGAGGCCCCATCCTGACAGCCCATCACCAGGACTGCACCTGGCGTCCCACCTCCCAGCCTGGGCCCCGCTCCTTTCACCTCACCCACATGGCTGCTCAGCAAAGGTGGTCTTGGGCCACTGTCCCTCTGCAGATCTGGAGTGGAGTGGCCCCGCGCCCACCCAGACACACTTCTGTGCCTTCTGCCAGGAACAGCAGTGGCTCTACAGGGCATGATGGGACGCGGCTTGCCTCTTGGAAGGAGATGGCCAAACTGCAGGGGCTGGGGTATGAGGCCACACCCAGGCCGGCCACGAGGAAGAGGGTCACTAGGGGAGGCTGTGGCAGCATGAGGCTCTCAGACTTCTCGAGGTAGCAGCCCTGGCGGCCAGGGAGCTCCCCCAGGCCCAGCAGGGGTCCTGGCCGGGGAGGTGAATAGAGCGCCCGCCTGGAGGCAGGGGGACTCCGGCCCAGCAGATACCATGGGCCAGGCCACTGCCCTGGAGCTGAGGCTGCCAGACCGCGCGCGAGGCCTGGGGGTTCGGGGCTGGGAGCTGCAGGGCTGAGTCAAGGGTGCAGAAGGCTGAGGCCAGCAAGCCAAAGGGAGAAGGGAACAAAGCCGGTAGCGGGGCCCCATCTCGGGGATCCAGGGAGCCCTGGAGAAGCCGAGGGGAGCATCGGGCTGCGCCGGAGGTCCTTTCCAGGTGGTGGGGGGCCGTCAGGGCCCCGGGGGTTCACAGCACAGGGCACTCGGGGGCTGAGGCAGCAAGCAGCCTTCTGCCCAATGAGCAGAGCCGCACACAGCCTCCTCTTCTACCACCTCAACCTTCTATCACCTCAGAGAGTCACTGCTGACCGGAGGGGGAAGGCCCAAACACCCGGGGACTGACGGCAGAGGCATTTCAGGAGGGTGGCAAACCCCCACCAAGGCGCGCACACCTGGGCCTGGAAACGCCAGGGTTCCTGAGCTGGGGGAGCTGCCCTGTGGCCTGCCAGGATGTGTAAATAAAGCTGAGTGCCTTCCGCTCAGACGACCCCTCAGGATGCCCTGTCCCCGGAGCATATACGTGGAGGGTGACGCCGCCATGACAGGGGCGCCGGCCAAGCAGAAGCTCCCTCCCCTGACTGTTCTCCCAGCCTGAACTGGGATGAGCTGGAGGGAGAGGTGGCAGCCAGCTGGGCATCGAGACCCCGGGAGGAAGCCGGCCCCCCTGCCCGCCCCCCTCCACTTTGTGGCCTGCAGTAGGTCTTCCATGGCCTGAGCCCCATGCTGGGGACACAAGAGGGGTCCAGTCTGGATCCTGCCCCAGAGCTGGATGACTATGATACAAGGAGAGGGATCCGGGCAGACACGGGTGCCGTGAGGGCGCAGAGAAACTGCAGACGCCCTGCGGTGGGCTCAGAGTCAGAACCCTGACTCTGCCCTCACGGTCCGGCCTGCGGTTTCTCCCGCCCAAGGTTAAGGTTGCGGCCAAGGTCATACGACGCATACAGGCCAGAGTCTTCCTGTGTGGCCCAGGCAACCGAAGCCCAGAGGGGCAGGGACGTCCTGAGGTCCAACAGAGAAGCAGCTGATAAAGCCCGGGGGAAGTCCATGCCTGGGCTGCATCTGCCCTGCCCCCTGGCCTCTGACCTGGGGCCTCTACTGGTCTTTCAGGGACAGGCACGGCCGCCAACGGGTAACATCTGAGCTCAGTGGGCACCTGCCCCAGGCTCTAGGCAGGGTGTGGGGCTGGAAGGTCAAAGTGCACTACAGGGCTTCAGGGCAGTGACAAGGTGTGCGCCAGCCACTGGTCAGGAGAGCCTGACTCCCACTAAAGAATCACAGCAAACACGCTCCCCTCCCCGACCCCGACAGAGCCGCACCTATACCCCAGCCTCACACTGCCTCCCAGCAGCCCAGCTTCAGCCTGGATAGTACATTCTAGACCCCAGTATCATCCCTACACACTCCCTCCACTTTCTGCGGGAGCCACCCCAAACCTATAGATGGAGGCAGACCCAGCGGCTCTGCACCTTTCAGGAGAGAACAGTCTGGAGTCCCCCCTCCCACCCCCATCTGGCTGGCTCACCTCCCACTCAGGCAGGCCCAGGAAGGAGGCAGCTTGGGGAAGAGAAGCGTTTAATTGAGCACCTCATCTCTGCCCTGCCCTGCCGGGTGGGGAGAGCTACACCTGCAGCATTCTGGGCCCAGAGGGTGAGGATGGCCCCCCGGGGGGACAGCACGAGGCTGTCAGAGGGCAGCAAGGAGGCTGAGGGGCAGTGGTAGCACCAGGAGCAGGGCCCGGGATGGGGCTGGCAGGGCCTGCCCACTGATGCGTTCCCAGATCCAGCGCTGGTAGGAGGTGACCTGCAGGTAGATGGGCGGGGCCTCGCTCTTCCGGCAGCCTGGGCCCCAGCTCACCAGTCCCACCAGGTACCACGTGGTGTCCACAGAACAGGCCAAGGGCTCACCACTTATCTCCTGTGGGGCGGGGTGTGGAACAAAAAGGGTCAGGGGGGCCAGGGGTGGCCAGAGGGAGACGTGCCCTGGTTCACACCACCTCGCTCCCACAGCACCCCCGGCGACCCAGGGAGCCACCAAGCTGAGAGGTGCCCTCGAGGTCCAGACCCAGGAGACCTCCCTCAGAGGGGTTCACCTCCCCTCGCTCATGCCAGGCCCCACCCCCCTTCTTCCCACCAACCCCCCCTTCCCTCTCCTCTCCGATCTTCCTCTCCCATCTCTCCCTCCGCCCTCCCCTCCCCTCTGAGCCGGGCTGCCCTGCGCCCCGGCACCTCTCCGGGCAGCCCTGGAGGTGAGGGAGCAAGGAGGAAGGTGCTCACGTAGCAGAAGTTCTCCCTGTCCAAGTCCTCTGCACAGACCATCCGGGAGTCCACCACCCGAACCAGAGAGGGGACTTTGGAGATCTTGTGGTATAACTTGTCACATTCCTGGCTGCTCAGGACGGTGACTCCCTTCTCCTGAATGGTCCGGAACTGGGGCCACACGCCTGCAGGGACAGGTCCCCCCCACAGTTCAGGCTTGGCGCCCTCACTGCCGCCAGCCCAGTGGCTGTCCTCGCTGCTCCTGGCCCACTCCTCCAGCCTCTGAGGAGCCCCTCCTAAAGATTTTGGAGCAGGCTGCCCTCAGCCTGGCCTCGCTGGGCCTGGTCTCACCCCTAACAGAGTCCAGCCCACGGGGTCTGTTCCTACCTCAGCAGCTTGGCCTCTGCCCTTCCATTTCGAAGGCCTGCCCAGCCCCTCTCAGGTCCAAATCTGTCCTTCGCTCAAGCCTTCCCCAAAGGCCTCTTCCACCCTAGCGAGCCCAGACTCCCCCTCTGCGGGCCCCAGGCGCTAGGTCCTCCCCTCCTTCCTCCTCTCCCTTCCTCTCTCTCTCCAGGGTGACTCTGTCTCTAGCTGGAGCCCCCCGGGGGACAGTCTTCCAACCATCCCCAGCCACTCCCCAGACCGGCCATGACAGGAAAGACAAACAGCCACCCACACCCCCAGGCTAGAGCCGCTGCGGGCTGCTTTTAAGCAAGATGACTCCGTGAAGTCAAAGGGAAGAACACCTGTCTTGTGAAAAAGAGGGGCTCCCTGAATGGACCGGGCCTTCCTAAAACTCATAAGGAAATGCTCCCTGGATAGGCCTAGGACGACACTCCTGCTCTTTGGGCCTTGCTCCATCCCTGAGGATGGTAAAGGGCTTGAGGTCCACTGGGGGCAGGGGGCTCCCAAACTCGGGGTACAGACTGCCCTTAGCCAACCATGGGGCTTTTGGGGGGGAACTTTTTATAGTCACACAACCCTGCTCCTCCCACTGCAAGATGCTCTGCTTCAAATCCTGGATGTCCTGGGATCGCATGCACACAGCAAGATATTACTCGGTGCCCCTCTGCCTTCAAGGAAGTCCTGTTTATAGGTCCTGGCCTGGGGCTCAGGGCTCATGGGCAATCTGGGACCCCGCAGGCCTGAATGGCCACAATGCACTCACTGCCCAGACGTCCAAGGGGAAGGAGACGAGAGCCCGCCAGGAAGACGTCTCAGAAACAGCTGTCCACGGAGACCCCGGCCTGCACCCGGGTCCTCTCCCCCACGCACCCCCCACCCAGTCTGGGGAGGCTCGGACTCACCGTCAAACCTGGGGAGTCCCCAGCCTGTTACAGTGCAGAGGGAGCCGTCCTTCACCTCGTAGTCCAAGCCAGGCAGGCAGATGGGCCAGACATACTTGTTGTACTTGAGTGGCCACACGAGCTTGAGGAGGGCAATGTCATGGGCCCGGCCCACCCAGGACCAGTACCGATGGGGCCGGTACCGTTTGTTCAAGATAACCTGGTACGCCGGGACGTCAGAGGTAGTCGGAGATACCTGGTCAATCCTTGGGCTCCCCACCCGCACGGAATAGGTAAAGTTATGCCTAGGGGAACAACGAGGGGAGTCTGTCATCAGCTCCAGGCACCCCACCCCAGTCTCCACCCCACCACTGCACCCCAAGTCAATCCCGGGAGGCCACCCACCTACTTCAAGCCCCCCCCCCGGCCCCCACCCCGAGCCCCTCTCTCCCAGAAGATGTGAACGGGGGACCTGCACACACCCTGTGTGGTCCCGCCCTTACAACGACCCTGTACTTCACGGAGAGCAAACCCGAGGCTCAGAGAAGCCCAGCCAACAGCTCAAGGCTGCACAGCTAGGAAATGGCAGAGCTGGGACATGGACCCCGTCTCCTCTGGTTCCAGACTCTGGACTCTGTCTGGCACCGCGTGCCAGGCCCTGGAAGTGGCAGAGGCCGGGCACAATCAATCAGCCACGGCCTCGCCCTCCAGGCTCCTTTCCCAGCATGCCCCTCAGGTCTCCGGGTCGGCCCTTAGGCTTGGAGCAGGCTTTTCCACAGATGCTGCCCTCGGGCCACCGCCCTGGCCCCAGCACAATGGGCATGCCCTCTCTCCGGTCCCCACGCTGCCCGGACTCCCCTGTGAGCACCTGTCTTCCCATCTATCTTCCCCAGCAACCCAAGGGAAGCGATGCGTCTGTCCCCTCTCTACCCCTAGGGCCCAGGCCAGGGCCTGGCTTCAAAGGAGGGTCAAAGGCTGCGGATGGAAGGAAGGAAGGAATGAGTAAGTGAAGCAAAGGGTGTGGGATGGGAGAATTAGGGCCTCCTTTCTGTGGCCAGGAGGAGGGAGGCCTGGCCAGCGGCTTCCGAGCCCCCATGGCCTATGTGTAGCATGAGTGCTGCGGACTGGGGAGCCAGGGAAGGGAGAAAGCGCCCAGCCCTCCCTCCGGGGAGGAATCAGCAGGACTCAGCCTCCACCTGAGGAGAGCCGAAGCCAGGGTGGGGCTGGGACCACAGCGCCCTGCAGAGGGCACAGCTTGCTGCTGAAGGACCAGCGGGCAGGATGACCAGGCCCCGTGGCTCCGGACACCTTTCCACCCACCCACCTAGGCCGCGACTCACTGGATCAGGCAGTGGGCCGCCGTCAGCACCCACCGGGAGGAAATGAGGGTGCCTGCGCAGACATGCGTGCCGTTGGCCTGCACGCTGACCATCCATGGCCACCGCCGAGCCATGGCGTCTGGGTCCCTGAGGGTGGGGTCCTGCTCATGCGAGGAGCCGCAGGCTGAGGAGGAAGGTGAGAGCTTGATGCATGATGGGACCCTGCAGGCCCATCCCAAGGCGCCTTCTCTCCCCTCCCCTTCAGCCCCACCTCCTGCCTCTCCAGCCGTGGCCCGCACGCATGCGGCGATTCTCTTTTCCCACTGGGATTTCTCTTTTTCCACATGAAGACTGAGGTCTGCAGCCTCCAAAGGGCCTCAGTGCTCCCCAGGTATCCCTCCCCCTGCTCCCCCAGCCCCGGGGCCCTAGCCACCAGCCTGGTACAGCAGTGGCCCCCCGAGCTCTGACCAGATCCTTCAGAAACTCATCCGTGTTTCCATCTGGCCCCCCGTACTTCGGCCAAGGCGGACCCCTCTCCCTCCTCTGGGAACCATCCTGTGATTCAGTGAGACTACCCAAGAGAAAAATGGGCCATGGGCGTGAACAGATACATCCCGAGGACGACACCCCAGCAGCGGGCCAACACCGAAGCTACTGAGCCCCAGGAGTCCTCGGGGGAGGGCAGACGCTGCAGAGCCAGGCTCTGCTCCACACCACCTGCCAGGCAAAATTCAGTGGCCCTGACCCCAAGTATTGGTGAGGGTTCCCGGCCCAGACTGCTCACTCCTGGCTAGTGGGAGTGTCTGTGGGTGCAGCCACGTTGGAAAAGTTCTCAAACTGAAGATGCACATATCCAACCTCACAGCAGCCCACCCCCCAGTGTTTTCCAGGGGGTGGGTAGGGGATTGGGCGATCAGCGTGCATGGGCCAGCACCAGCGTGCGTCAAGCCTAACATAGGAGAGGGGGTGTCTACACGCACTAGGTCGTGTGTGAGAGGCTTTCGGGGGCCGCTTAATTGTGTGCACTGAGTTCCGGGATAAGAAGTAATTCTGGAGGTCTTCGTTCAACATGAGAAGGTCGCACAGGGGTGCCCCCAAGACGCCCACGGGGAGGCTCCCTGAAAGCTGTGCTGAGGATCTCCTAAGTCGTTGGCTGGGAGCCTGGGTCAGTTAGTTCAGGGCGGCGGGAACATGCAGCCCACCGCAGGCTCCTCGGACTCTCCTTCCTTCCCACCTCACCGGGTCGGGAGGCCTGGCCCACAGCAGATGCTCGGTAAACCCTTGTAAAAGGAACCTCTCTTCTCACTCCCCCTGCCCCTTCCTCCTCCGACCGCCTCCGTCGGCAGGGGTTGCTCCCGCACCCTCCTCCCCCAGGGAGTCCATCGTACTCACTGAGAAAGCTGATGTCACCGTCAGAAACAGACACGGTCTGGGTCTGGAGGGTCGTGCGCTGCGACGGGTCAGTGGGGGCCTGGTGAGGGCGGCGAGGCTCGTCTGAGGGACAGGTGACACTGGGGGCACAGGGCACGCCAGGGTCGACGGAAGCAGGCGCAGACGGTGTCCCTGGCGCTTGGCTCGCCAGGCAGCCTGCGGAAGGACGCAGAGAGGGTCAGACCAGGCCCGGCGAGGGGGTCAGACGAGGCCCCGCGAGGGCGTGGGGGTAGGGGGGCGCGGCGGGGCTCACCCGCCGGCCTCGGCGACACCAGCAGCAGCAGCAGCAGCAGCAGCAGCAGTGGAAGGGCAGCCGCCCCGGGGCCCCGGGGGGCCTGCCTGCGGGCCGGCGTCCTGCACCGGGGCTCCATTCCGGAGTAGCAGCTACGGCGCCGCGATGCTCCTCTCGCGACGGCGCCCCCCATCGGCCGCCCGCGCCGGCGTCCGCTGTGTGGGGAATGCGGGCGCCCCCCAGTGGCCCGCGGTGGCGCTCCCCGTGGCAGCCCACCGGCGCCCCCACCGACTTGGCCTCCCTTCTGCCGGCACCACCACGCCTCTGCCTCCTTGGCCCCTTGGTCTCGCTCCCTGCGCGTGGCCAGGCACTTCCTGGGGACCCTCAGGCTAGCGCAGCCAGTTCCTGTACCGCCTCGCTCCTGCAGCCCCCTGCCCTGGGGCTGGGGGCCTGCCTTCATCCTTCCCGTGGTGAGATGGGACCCAACCCCTGGGGCTGGCCTCCAGGATTCCCAAGTGGAATTGCGGGTTCCCCCCCCCGCAACCCCCAGCCTGGTAACTACAGTGGGGCTTTGCCCCAGGGCACTGAAATTGACCCAACAAGATTGCATAATTGTAAGCAGCACCCCCGCCCCTCCCCCGCCCCCACCGCCATTCAGCAAATGCTCTTCTCTGACAGATCCATCTGCTTAGGAAAGACTGTGTTGGTGAGGTAGGTTCCTAGTCACAGATGAAGAGTGATGGCAGTAGCCAGCCGACCCTTCTGGGAGCAGAAGTGCACTTTAAGGTATGTTGGAATTGGGGGAATATTTTGATGGCTCAGTTGACCTAGACAGATAACACATTTAATAAGGAGTGTGGGAGATCCTATGAGCAGCTTTGGTTCAAAGCTGTTGGGAAATTCTAGGTGAACGTGAAATAAAGTCAGAACACTCTAACTTTGGCCGGGACCTGCGGTCTTGGGAAACACTCAGGCTGGCCATTCAGCGCCCCAATCTCTTCAAAGACAGCAAATCATACCCACTACCTTTGTGGCACCCGAAGGACAAGGGCTCTGAACCGGAGGCTCCCCCGCAGGTCTGAGCCGCCCCCAGGCTACCTCCACTCTGAAGGCAGGGCTCTGGCTCCCCTGGGCTGGCCTGGCCTTGCCCTCCTGAGTCTGTTGGAGGTTGCTGAGGCAGCTTGGAAGCTCGGGGGGTCGTCACCTCCCACAATTCATGCCAGCAGACACTCTGCCTTGGCCCCTTTTTCTCCCCCCATCATCATCCACGTCTGCCAGGGAAGGAAGAGGAACTGATCAGATTCTGTAGACCCTTAGGGGGATCTGAAGGGTTGGGAGAGGTTCACGGGTTCTGGAACGAAGTCCATAAATGTAAGTCCGGTCATTGAGTTTCTTGGGAAGAGAGCAAATTCTCTTAGGAAGGCCTGAGGGAGCTGCTGGTCAGAGACCCAAGGGAGGGCCATGGGGACCAGGGTTGCTGGGGTGCTGAGATGATTAAGCAGGGACTAGAGGTCACAGAGTCCCACCTGGTATTTGGCAGAAGAGGAAACTGCAGCCCAGAGCGGGAAATGTGGTAAGCGGTGGTACAGGGAAGCCCCTCAGCGAAGGCTCCCCTTGAGAGGACAGACAGGCCTCCCGGAGCTGGGTAGGCTCTGAAGGGTTCTGGCCACGGTCAAGAAGAAAGGTGACTTCTGTGGCGTAAAACTCAAGAGCATCTTCATTGAACAACTTAAAAAACCAGTGGCTCTGGGACCCTCCCCCAAGGGTGCTCTGTCCTGATGTCATGCGCTCCCTGGGTCTGCACGGCTCCTGAGGGCAGACAGGGAGGAAGCAGCGGCCTCTGGGAGTGCCTGCCCCAGAAACACCGCTCACAGGAGCCACAGGGAGCCCAAGGACACCAGCAGAATGTAGCCAGTGAGGGTGACCGGGCTCAGGAAGGCAGGGCCAGCCCTACTGATGAACCTCATGTCCGTGATCTGCCTCTTGATCCAGTGGGTGAAGTGGGAGGTGCTGGTGTAGATGCCTGGGAAGCGGTGCTGGTTGCAGCTCCGGCTCCAGCTCACCACCCCCATCTGAATCCAGGAGTTGTTCACCTGGCAGACGAGGGAGCTGCCAGAGTTATCCTGTGGAGGGGAGGAGGGGAGGCGTGAGGGAGGCGGAGGGAGGGCCTCACTGCGGGCTCTGCAGAAATTCACACCTTCTTGAGCCAGATCCTTAGCAAGAGCTGCCTTAGGCTTATGCTGCCCCCGAAAATGAGGCATGGCTAGAAACCTGCTCCGTGACTTGGAAGTTCTGCCCTTGGGCCCCAGCTCAGGATCACACTGGCCTCTCTCTTCATTCTCCTGCTAACCCTCTGACCAGAACCCCCCGGTCCCCACCTCTGTCCTCCCTTAAATCCCGGTGGGCCTCCAAGGTGCCACCCTTGACCACCTTCTTTCCTACACTACTGCTTTCAGAGTCACTATTTGAAATGCAACCCAGCCCCCTTTTTTTGTGCAAAGCAGGTGCGTGTATAAGAATAATGTTTATAACAGCACGCATCAAAAAGTCATAGTTGTTATGCCTGCTGAAGGTAGGTTTAAGACTTTTTTTAAGCTTCCTCTATAAGGAAGCTGTAATTGTTGACAAGCTTTATAAATCAGAAAAACAGCTTTCTCTATATTTATATACATATCTATATATATTTAATGTAATTCAAACCAAGATTTAAAGAACATAATCTAATGAAGAGTGCATGAGACACTTAAGGAAAAAAAATAATAAAACTATACCTAAGAATTAAATGAAGACTCACATCAAGGTAAAGAGATATTTTGGTTCTTAGGTAAGGCGACTGAAAACAACATAAAAATGCCAATGCTCAGCATTTGGCTTTCTGCACTATGGACGACCAGATACACTGCCTGAGCTTGCTGTAGATAACTAAATACGTGTGAGGTTAAAAACTTCTCATTTTAAATACACAGATGAGCCGGCAAGAAAATGAAGACTCCTCAGAGTCCAAAACCCCGGGAGGTCAGCAAAGCCCACATGGCTTTGGTCACAAGGCTATTTGTCAAACTTGGCAAAACTGACCTTCCATTTTCACAGTGTCCTTCATCGATGTGGGAGATAAAAGGCAAAACCCAGGGCCTGCACAAGGAGGAGAGCCTAAGACAAAACGTCCTGCAAAAAGTTCCACCTCCAAAAAAGACCACGCCCTCTGAGGGAGGAGAAACTGGGAGCACCTGCCCTCACGTGAACTTGTGATTGGAATTCACACTATGTGGGTGGTTCCAAAAACCCAAGCCAAGGATGCCATTCAAAGTGGTCCTGGGTTAGTCATGTACCCAGAGGATTCTCACAGAGAACACCCAAGAACACTTCCTCACTCTTTAAAACATCACCCCACACACAGGGAAGTTGAGATACCATGAGCAAATGCCAGCCAGCAGAAAAAAACAAGAGCATAATTAGAACCTGCTCATCTTGAAACTCAGGGATTATCACAAGTGGAAGGTTCAGAGTTTCTGGTAATGCAGCACTATTTCATAGGCTTGGGAGGGAGTGTATGGATGTTGGTTGTGTTATTCTTTATTCTCCATATATGTTTTATAAATATGCTTTTGTCTCTTCAGTAGAGAGTAAAAACTATTTTAAAAGATTAAAAGGGTCAGTCCTCCTTACATTAATCTCTAAAGTTCAAGCAATTCCAAATAAAATGCCAGATGGATTTTTTTTTCAGGACCTTGACAGTCTGATTCTAAAATTGATATTGAAGGATAAGAGTCCATGAATTCCATGACAGGTCTGAGAAAGAAGAGCAAGTGGGAGAGTCAGGCTGGGGGCAGATATGACCTACCGGAGAGTTAGATATATGTCAAAGCTGTAATTACAGAAACTGTGGCACTGGCATAAAAATAGGAAAATAGACCAGTCATGCATCGGAGAGCTAACCTGATGCCTGCACGTGAGGAGTTGTAGCACATTCTCCAGAAAGCTCTGGGAAAGGGGATCTCTGTTTTAATGAGGGGAAACCGATGAAGAAAAATGAAGTTGGATCTTACCTAACAACACTCCAGAGGAATTAAAACTGTCAATGTGAAAAGTTAAAACGATAAAGCTCATTAGAAACACGTAGGACTATGACTTTGACTTGAGATGAAGCATATGTCTTAAAATAAGACTCAAAGCCCACAAACTTAAAAAGGAGAGATGTGTTGGGCTTAATTACATCAAAGCTATGACTAGTCAGTGAAGGACACCGAATCTCATTGAAGATAGGTGATGAATTAAGATAGGGCATTTACTCTGTCTAAAAGTAACTAGAAGTCAATGTTTAATATATGTAAGGACACTCTGAACATTAACAAGCAGAGAAAGAGAGTTGAGAGACTTCTGGGGAAGATGGAAGAGTAGGAGGATCCTGGGCTCACCTCGTCCCATGGATACACCTAGATATCACCCACATCAGAGTAAATAAACCAGAAAATAACTCAAAGACTGGTAGAGCAGACTCACCACAGCTAAATGTAGAGAAGGAGCCACACTGAAGAGGGTAGGAAGGATAGAAACCCAGTCAGGGGCCAAACTGACCTGTAATACTGTCTGTGGGAGGGTGGGATACCACAGGTGCGGGGAGGAGAGAGGAGCAGACCCCCACCCCAGCCACAGGGGATGCCCTATGCAGAGACAAATGCCCATTTCATTTGGCTTTGAAAACCAGAGAGGCCTAACTTTGTGAGTCCTTACAATCAGTGGAGCTTAACACCTGGAACTTTAAAAAATCAGTGGCTCAGCTCTGAGAGAGCCAGAGGGTGACAGGAAATTGAGCCCCTGCTCTTAAAAAGACAGCATAACAAACAGCCCTTGAGATACAGCATAGAAGCAGCAGTTTAAAAAACACCTAGGGTATATGAGAAGGAGATTTATTTACTAATCTCAGAGTGTATGCTAGAGGGGCAGGGATCTTTGGGAGACTTCTCCAGAAACAAAAGGTCAGCGGGTGCATTTCCCACCCCTACCCTCCCAGTCTAGATACATGGACACCTGCAGGAACCAGCCCCTTGAGAACAGTCCCCACCTAGTTTGCTAACAGTGCATCTCACCCCCACATTCTCCTATGGATGTACCCCCTCCATCCCAGCTGGTCTCAGCAGGAGTTTTCCCAGGCAGCTGCAGGTCATCCTCCTGTAGTGGACCAGCACAGACCTTGCTGGCGCTGTGCATCCTGCACCACGTTCTCCTGAAGATGCACCTCCTCCAACACACCTTTGGGAGGAGATCATCCAAAGCAGTGCCACAAGCCTGGCAGGGTGCAAGCAGCCTCAACAGGGGCCAGCACCAATCCCAAGTGACTCTTGCCCTGGAGAGAGGGGAAGATAACCACACACACCAATCCCACTGCAGACATCTGGTCTGACTGCAAGTCGCACCCACCAATGAAAGTTTTCAGGGGACAACACCTAAAATGAGCACCCTGCAGTTCAGTGCTACCACCGTTCTTGCAAATACCTGGTCTGACCCAACTCAAGTCCATGGCAACCCCAGACAGACCTAGTAACAACATAGGTACCAAATCCTGCCCACAACAGGCAAAGAGAGCCATTGTAGATGATTGGACTGGAGGCAAACATGGCTCGGCCACAGTAGTAGGGTGCACGCAACACACATAGGAGACACCCCGGAAGTGCCAGGTTCTGGTGAACAGGGAACATTGTACTGCAGGGCACTACAAAACCTCTTCTTCATAAGTCTCCTACTTGGAATAGAAGGAGATGTAGCTGACTTTCCTAACACATAGAAACAGACACAGAGAATTAGACAAAATGAGGAGACAGAGGAATATGTCCCAAGTGAAAGAACAGGACAAAATCACAGCAAGAGAGCTAAGCAAAATGGAGATAATATGTCTGATAGAGAATTTAAAGTAATGATCATAATGGAGTACCTGGGTGACTCAGGTGGTTGAGTACCAACTTTTGATTTCAGCTCCAGTCATGATCTCAGGGTCATGGGATGGAGCCCCGGTGTCAGTCTCTGTGCTCAGCGGGGCAGTGGGGAGTCTGCTTGAGATTTCTTTCCTTCTGCCTCACCCCTCTCCGCCCTGCCCCATGCACGTGCTCTCTGTCTCTCTCAAAATAAATCAATAAATCTTTAAAAAATAATAATAAAGGAATGGTCATAAAGATACTCACCGGACTTGAGAAAAGAGTGGAGGACCCCAGTGAGTCCCTCAACAAAGAGATAGAAAACATAAAAAAGAATCAATCAGAGATAAAGAACTCAATAACTGAAATTAAAAATACACTAGATGGAATTAATAGTATATTAGAGGAAGCAGAAGAATGGATCAGTGACCTGGAGGACAGAGTAATGGAAAGCAATCAAGCTGAACAGGGGAGTGAAAGGTAATAATAATAAATTAAAATAGATTAAGGGAACTCAGTGACACCATTAAGTGTAATAACATTCACATTATAGGTATCCGAGAAGGGGAAGAGAGAAAAGGGGGGACAGAAAATGTATTTGAAGAAATCATAGCTAAAAATCTCCCTAATCTGGGGAAGGAAAGAGAAACCCAGATCCAGGAGGCACAAAAAGCCCCCAATAAAATCAACCCAAGGAAGTCCACACTAAGACACATAGTAATTAAATGGCAAAAAGTAGTGAAAAAGAGAAAAATTTTTAAAGCAGCAAGAGGAAAAAAAACAGTTACACACAAAGGAAACCCCATAAAACTATCAGCTGATTTTGCAGCAGAAACTTTGCAGGCCAGAATAAAGTGGCATGATATATTCTAAGTGCTGAAAGGAAAACATCTACAACCAAGAATACTCTATCCAGCAAGGCTACCACTCAGAATAAAAGAAGAGATAAAGAGTGTCCCAAACAAACAAAAGAAGGAATTCATTACCACTAAACCTGCCCTACAAGAAATGTTAAAGGTGACACCTTGGTGGAAAGGAAAGACCATAAGCAGGAGTAAGAAGAGGAAGAAGCGCAAAAGCAGTAAAAATAACTATATCTTTAAAATTAATCCAGGGACTCACAAAATAAAAGGATGTAAAGTATGACACCATATACCTAAAGTGTTGGGTAGAGGGGAGAGGAGTAAAGAATGGGTCCAAACTTAAGTGACCAC